GATCGTCTTAATTTCCGTTATCAGGTTTTATGGCTCAAATTACACACCATACAATTAGCTGTAGTTATCGATCTGTAAACTTTGCTCCTTGCAAACTCTGGCGATTTACTTAAGTCGTAGGCAGTCCTTCATTACTTTTGAGGAGCGATTGTTCTCAGCTTTCGCGCAAAGCCTATTGGTCGATCAGACCGCAGTTAAGCTCCAGCCGGACCAACACTTCTTTCCCTGTCTGTGACGCTGGGCAAGCATGCTGCGCACGATCGTTGCTCGTTTTAAAAAATCCCCCTCCGACTTTCAGTCGGCTCAGTCCGCGCACCTGTTCGGGCGCTTCTAGACTCACTTGAAGCTAGAGCTCTACCATATGTCTTTTCGCTGTAGAAGTTGAAGAGTAGGTATAGCGCATTAAATTACCTGAGCTTCAGTGACAGCACTACCGTCATGATAGACTATGTCCACAGTGGGCTCTACAGCAAGTTGAGGGCAGGGATGACGACTTGCGCGCGAGTTAGTTTATAGTGATAGTAGACTTGCGCCGCATCTAACGCCCTCTCTCCTCCCTCACCTGGGCCTAATGCCAAGACAGACTAAAGCAGACCGGAGATGAGACTGGGTACAGGTGGCCAGCGTGGCGAGAACGGACACCTGGGCGTACCACCACACCACCTGGTCCACAGCGTGCACTGACCAGGATTTTATGTAACAAAAGGCAATCGGCACGGATCCTAATGGGCGCGGCGTAAACTTGCACCTGAGCCTGTCGCCATACCTCGAAATGTTGGCATTTGTTATAAGTGTGCATTACTAATACCGCCTACCAGGCTCCGATCTAGCCCCCTCCCCCCGTGTTGGTTCAGCGCATCTGCCGCGTGTCCCGTTTGAGGGTCGAAACCTGAAATCCACCACCACTGATTGTGGGATAACGTATTGCGAAACTTTATGACTTCTCTAGTGCCCAGCACCGACGATACCATGCCCGCTAACTTTGAGACTTGACCTTATTGCCTGTCTGACCTTTTTTCTTTCAGTGTGGTATCTAAACTTTTGCGCTCAGCAACTAAAACCAACGCATCGCCAGAGTTTATACCTCTATTGATTTATGAAATGGGCCCGATCACTAGGGTTTATGAACAAACGCCCACTGAAGTCTCACTGGATAGATTTGGCTTTCGTCGGCAGATTGCTAGGAGATATTTACGGTTGTCAATGGGGTTCAAATACGTCAAAGGACCCTTACAAAACCAGTGCTACCGAGCGGAGGCTGCTCATGCAAATAACTCTTGCACAGAAAACATGCGGTACCTTATACGAAGATGGCCGAACTTAACAGGACCGCTGGAGGTCATTTGAATAAACAATATCATGGGAGTATAAACTGAAATGTAGGTACTAAAATGACCCAAAACATTCGGTGAAGATGTTACGACGAATGCCCGGGGATCATTCTAAACTCTGTGTATGCTTTCTATAACATGTATTTGGATTGAAAATCAATAGAGGAAATGCATACTACTAGATAGCCGTTTTATCGAGTGTGATTTTCGCAGGCGGATGAAAAGAAGCGCATCAAAAATTTGACATCTTGAAATGTCTGAAACATCATAGGACTATACCGCAGGATGATCATTATTACATTTTCGACTTAAATAACCCTTCCGAGTCGGATTTTCAGGCAGCATTTCATAAGATTGTTTTGCGATGTCGACTTTAATTGCCAATAAAGGACAAAGGCTATTTGAAAATGCTCCTTATCTTAAAGGGCAACTGTTGGGGGTGAGAGAAGTGAGATTGCACGGAAAACATTCTGGCGCGACGTGTCGCAAGAGCTAAACATTCTTCGTCTCGCAGGACAGTCGCGTGACATTGATTCTGTCGGCTGGAGGAACGGTTGCCGCTGAGAGAGGTTGTTCCGAAGAAAAGAGCGTAAGGGACTGCAGGAATATGCTCAACATTCCTAAAATAGAAACCATGTGTGCCTGTGAGGTAACGACACTTGGAAAAATAGCTGGACTCGTACGATTTTATCAGCTTAACAAGGCTAATTGGTCATATAAGTGGAATAAAGAGTAAAGAACACGGATCGCACTGATCCTCACGGACGTCCTGGGAGAAGATGCGATTTACGCCCCGCAGGACAGTCGCTAGCCCGCTCTGATATTCAATCACCTCAACATGAAGGTATAAATAAAGCAAATTGCAGTGAGGAAACAATGTTGCTCTCAGATATTGCGTTTTTGTTCATTAATCTTCCTCTCACGGAAACGAGTGAATATTAACATGATGAGATTGTAAGACAAGATTTCCCAATCGGCATTCCGCTCGGAGACCGAAAGCAACTGTTCTTTCGCTGCACGTTAAATGTTCAACTCATATATGATGGCCAATTTTTCCACCAGATCGACAACATAACGATAGAGTAAACTCATGAACTTCTACTAACTGATGTCTTCATGGTAAAACTGCAGAAAAAAAACAGTTCTTCCAATTACAAAGGATATTTATTCCTATGCTCGATGTGTTGATGACATTTTTGCAATAGCAGATGGAAGGCATGATTTGAACGTCCTCCTGGACAAAATGACCCAGGCTCACCAGGGGAGGGTGTCTGGTAAAAGGACGAACGAGTCTTTGAGAGATAAAACGTGGTTCGCAGAGGAATAAAGGTGCCCAGGGTCAGCCAACTGACCGGAGAACTCGAGGAAGGGTGCGCGGATTTACGTTCCTGTTAAGCTGGCTTCGCTGTTATATGTTCTCGTTCGCTAGCTGAAACCTCTTCTTGTTCCCTGAGAAAACTAACTGCAACCCTCTCTTTCCTCTTCCTCTCCTGCACGTTTTCATTGATTAGGCAGACTTTCGAACTTTGACGTTGCCATTTCTTCTTATTGACCTTCTGGATTCATTAAAAGTTCCACCCACCTCTCATTTGCTTCTTATACTATGTGGCGACGGGAGGCGGTCTTAGAAATGTTCTCACATTTGTTTACTTCAACAAATCCAGCCTTTTTTAAAAAAGCATCGCGTTTCATACAGAGAAGGACGTTTTTTATCTATTCTAGGTTTATGAAATTGGGTCTGTAGACAAGTAAGTCTGTTAGACCTGGATTGGACGTTGCCTTACCGGTTCAGTGTTCTCCAAACGTCCCCATGGCAAAAGGATTATAAACACCACTTAGTAGTTTAAAAATCGCTTGGGTAGAAATTTCGATTGGAATTTTTTGACAGCAAGATGGGTCCCATGCTTTCTCGGCCTAAACTTTAAACTAAGCAGTCAACTATGCCAACCGCGGGAATCGATCGATAGTCACCTAGGCCTGACATGCGGGGTAGATTATCCCGTTTTCCCTATTAAAATCGATTAGTCAGAGAACATGATTCAGAGGTGACGGAGCAACGGTGGTGAAACTAACCGATAAGTAGCGTTCCACCGAAAATCCACAGAAGCAGGCGGTCAATGACGAAGGCTACGTATTTCCATTCAGACCGGACCTAAATGGCAACAGAATGGAATGCATAATGGAGGTGGCGTTCCGATATAATCATCAAAGACGTTCAAACAGGCATAGGCAGTACGTCTGGGGTTGATGCTGAGATTTGCCATTCCAATCTTATAAACAGAGATGGCGGGCAGGAATAAGAAGAGCACGATACACAGGGGGACTGAAAGGACAGCCAACATCTTTGAACCGTCAGATCATTATGTGTAAAAAAAATTCAAACTGGCTATTGCCAACGTCGAACCTAAGCCTGCCTCCGAGCAGACGAAAAAAGCAAACACTAACGTCTCTGAGATTGCCTGATTTCTGGGACTCAGGGACGGATGTTATCGTACTACAATAAAGTCAGGTCGGTTGACGCCACTTTCTAGGCGAAGTGGACTCTCTTCCTCCTTTGATACAGTGCATCCGACAGGGGATATAGGACAGGTCCTTCCAAGCTTCAGGCACACGGAAGACTTGCCGTCGTTTAGCTTGGTTGATGTGGTTGGAAAGACGAGGTCGTTAATTTTTCGTGATATCTCCACTTATCCTTCCTGGGTCTTGCAGTTTGAAATTCTTTAACGGTGGTCAACGATGTTTCGGTAACATCGAACTCACCCTGTCAGTCTATCCCGACATTTTCCTTGTCAACACTGTTAAAATTTGTTGGTTTTAGTTCTACCGATAGAAGTTGGTGATTGAGAAGTGAGTAAATGACAGTCTTATGAGCTTAGTTCAGGGTCTCTGTCAACAAAATATACAACTACAAATGTACTCTACTGGCGTCCGTTTCGGAATGTAGTAACCAATATTTCATAAGTAACATGTACAAAAAGCATTACTGCGGCTATCGGTCGGAGCGGGCGTTCGTTCGACCACATATTGTTTTTTTTTCTGCTAGTCAGCAATTTATAAAGGCAACAGGTACTGTATTAGTTGCTTGAGAAACATTCCTATATTTGTTTGGCAATACAACTGTAATCATAGAATAAAGCAAGTTGGCGCAAACGTTTCTACAACAAATAGAAGAAGGAATTTCCGTTTGCTGCAAAACCATTGTCGGGCGTGTGTGAGTGAACGAGTGGAATGCCTTAATTTGAACTCCAACTTCACCCCCCAGCAAGGACGAAAGACGTGGACACTCGTCTGCGAAACACTTTGGCAAGGCTCTTGTATGGAAGGGAACGCATAAGAAAAGGTTCCCTAACTTATCAAAGGCCTATTCGTGGCCTATTCTTTCTAATCGCAAGCATATTTCGGAATTTCGGTCAACATTTCATGAGATAGCCCACTAGTTCTACTTCCACAAACTACGCTTATTAATTTGACACGTAGTTTCGTGTTTTCGAAATTCTCGCTAATCTCAAAAAAACTATTAACTCTGATAAGCTTAGTACTACATTTAACAACCCCTTTTTACTCCCTCCCTAAATCGACGACCGCCAAATTTATACCTAGATGTTTTGCACGATGCATCTTGGTCGGCTTCTAAGTCACTGAGGATTTTTTACTGAATGAACGCATACCTTATGAGCCTTTTTCCCTACTCTGTAGTTAGGCAAGTTAACTAAGAGGGGGGCTGCACGGATAACGCGCGTGGGCTCTTTCCAACAAACCTAAGAAGAATCGCATTTGTTTCGATCAGACTGTGTTTGGTGGCACTATGTCTTCGGAATTTTGTCTAAACCAACAACAGCCAGCCAGCTGAAATAACAGCTCGTCTCCAATTGCATTGGCACACCTAAGCTTACAACCTTTGCATAATTGATAGATGAATATACCGCCGATGGTAGAGAATTGTGCTTGCACTTGGTGCAGTCATGGTCATGTTTCACAAAATTTTGTCGCGAACTGTATCGCTATGCACGATATTTGCTGCGCTCGGTCTGTCCTCCAACGACGGCAACCAAATATCAAAGGTCCAAGAACCACCCCCATGTCTTAGCGAACTGTATCAAGACCGCTTTTGAGCTGACCTCCTCTTTAACGCCCTCCGACGGGCAACAGCGCCGGATCGAGGGCAACTGAGTTCGCGGGGCGTCGACGAAGAGCGCGACCAAGCCACCTCAGCCGTCTTTTTGAACGAGCGGAGATATCTTCACCATGTTGTTACAGCGAGTGCAGACTGGGTAAGATGTGGTTATGTAGCCCCACCTGATAGACACGATACTGTTGAGGTTGGGGTTAGGGGTTAGGGTGAGGGGTTACGGCAAGGGGTTAGGGCAACTATTTTTTAACCTCCCAAATTACAACCGCGCATTCCCAGTAGTTTTTCTTTTGCATACAACTACTTGACCTCGTCGCCTGTGCCTTCCCCGGTCCCACCTGTAAAAGCCCCCTATTACCACCGGTCCCGTATTAGAGGTGGCCGGGGTTTACTTAACTCAGGTGTGGCTGCATAACCACATCTGGCCGCGGACTGTATTACTTGAAAGCAAGTCAGTGTACCTCACTCAAAGGATAGTTCTCAGGCAGCAGTTGTTAAACAACTCCAGTTGTCGCTCATCTTCTACGCGCACAGCCTAGCATTCACAACCGCACAGGATAAGTCTCTGGACGGAGGTCTGCTACAATCGGATCCTTGAGTGATGTATATAGTGCGTCAGGTCTATAAACACCTTCTTAAGACTGCAAAAAACCCTGCGTGCACCATCGATTCGGGAGACAACTCGGTCGTTCCGATCACAGCTCCGTCCATATGCAATTGAAGTTGTCTACTTCTTCAAGTTGACATGACTGCTCTTTCAGCTACTCTTCGATTTCTTCATCTGTCATTAGTTTTCACTGCTGCCTGTTCGTAATTTTCGGGGGTAAAAGCGAGAGAAGTGTTCATATTCCAGTTAGGACGTTAAACGCTAAACTCCTATGAATTAATTTCATTATTCAACATCGAAAGCGCCGATGTTGCCGTCAGTGCTTTACACCGGTGAGACACAGTGGCTAAACAGGCATTTTTATGATGTGTGCGGAAATACACCGGAAACAGATTTAGTCCACAAACTCCGACTAAAGTGTTTTCCTCACGAAAATGATCCATTTGCGAAGGTAATTAAAACCTTCGCATTTTCTAACGTCTTCTAAGAGTGCTCGAGCTCTGTTACAGGTGTTTCGTGTTTCTTTACAACTCCCACGTACCTGGGCCCACTTTTCACGTCTTCTAAAGTGTCCCACAATTCGCCGGACTCTGTCCAATGAGTCCTCCAACTGCTCGATTGTAATTCCATTTAGAACTCCCTTTAGAGCCGTCGGTTGTTTGAGTAACTCCGGTGAAAACGAGATCTCCAGAAGCGGTTCCTCCTCCTTGTCGGAAAAACAAGTGTTTTGGTACTCCTAAAAAGTAAAGAATAATTGTGGACGTACACCAGATATGCTATCTCATGAAGTGTGATCTCAGTTCAGGAAGATTACCTAAGTGGCGTTGTCATTTTAATTGTCATGTAACATTATCCCAACATATGTCGGTCCCGTCAGGACGGCAGCTTTCGAACGAGCTTTTTGTTGACTCTCTGCATAAACTACACTCTCTAAAAAGTGACCACTTAAATAGTATGCAATTTTCTCGTAGTATTTCGATGCCCTTATAAATTTTAATATATTTTGTAGGACAAACATGGGCAAAACTTTTGTTTATTTTATTCATTTGGTAGCTAAAGAAGCCTTCTTCGAACTTTACACTCGCTGATTAGCTACCCCTCGGTCTAAGAACTTTTCCAATTCCGAAATAATTTAGGACAAGATCGACCGTAACAGTTGAATTTAGGGTTTCCAAACTACTAGCTTCACATTTTCCGGGTAGGGAAAATCGTACATTTCTGTGCGCTATGGGGAAGACGTCATACAACACTCATAAAATTCCGTAATTGATGCAGACCATGTTGTCAACTTTATGAGCAACATTAAGTTACGTACTGCTGCGATGGTGTATGGTTGGATATTTCGTGGTCTTAAAAATTCACATTAAAAAACTTTCCAAAAACCAAAAGACACTCTTTCAAGCATAAACTCTGAAGACTACGTAACTTTCTATCAAATGAATAGAAAAAAAGAATATTTTTGCGCGCGTTTTCTTTAAAACATATATGAATTCATAGGGCACCCAATATCAATATAAAAAATTCATATTACTTAGATGGTCATTCTTTCAGAGTGTAGTTTTTGCAGACGGCCGAAAAGATGCTCATTCAGGAACGTCGTCCTGACCTGTCTGAAGTATCCTAGAACTGTGCTGTACGACAATTAACATTGCAACCCTGCTTAAGTAGTCCTTTTGAATCAAATAAATATTTCAACATTTCGGTTACCATTTGATGAGATAGTACATCTCATGTCTTACAATACAACAGGGTCGCGGAAAACGAGAGCACCTAATTTCCTCAGCAAGCGAAATAAAGTAGCAGAAAACATCATTCTAAAGCAAAGTCCAAAACGCTGTGAGCCGTCGAAATAATGTATTTATCCGGGGCGAATGCTTTCTCTCTCTCTCTAGTCGAACAGCGGTCGCTCTTTGCCTTAAAACGTCAGAGCCCCTACTGGGTCACCTCTCAGTTTGGGAATGTTTGCTGCTACCCCTTGGATTCGTGCCGGATGTGCTACTCGTGGTTTGCAATAGCTCCTGTCAAACACTAGGGACAGTTAGTCGATATCCTCGTCTACGGCTCACTTATGACATAGGGGAAATCGATTTTTTAAATTTTCATCTGGAAACACCCATACTCTTGCTCGAAGCCCCCACTCCACTTTTTCGTGATGACACACAAGGGTGAATTCGATTCTCATGACAGGTAGAATGTTGAAGTATCCGTCTATGTACCTAATATGGAAACGATAGTTAAACAACGATAACAACGGCAGTGATGGCGATAATAATGACCCTTTTACTAGATGTTTTGGCAGATTTTGAATAATGTCCTTTAACCAGACTGCATAAACAACATTTGACTACGAGGGCCTATTAGTCATCTAGCGTTTGCTAGATGGTTAACTCAGAAAATCCTGCTCGGGTAGTCTGCTTACTATAGCCGATTTGGTAGCTTACATACGTTGCAGTAGGCTGCGTGAACAAACTTACGGTTCTCGACCGGAACTCATAGCCCAAGTGGCTAGAGTGTTGGCTGTAATTAAGCCTTTTCTTTGCTGTTGTGGGTTCGGATCTCACCGAGGTCGCTGTGTTTCTCACAGTTGGGTCAAGATAAATAATCTGTTTACCGATGCCGACGCCACAACAGACGTTTAAAATTCCTCAACTGTAAGTCGGCACAACCAACTTGCCATACTTCTAACCCCCCCTTTTCCCCCTTTTGACCGCCGGGGGAATGACATTTTGATTTATTGTCGCGATCCATTCCACTTCATAAGTTGCTGTTCATTTACGCATTTCAACCCCTATACGCAAATTGTAAGGTGAATAAAGTTTAACTCTAGGGTGCTCCTTCGTTCTGATTTTCCCGTCCAATCCCTTTCGTCATCTCCAGCTTTCAAGCTTATGGCTGATCACTTATAATAAAAGCTATGTTAGATTTCGCGCGAATTCCTGGCCAGGATGACTTCTTGAACGCAAAATCAATGAGTCGATTTCCAAAACATAGACCGCTGTGTTCATTTTGCATTTTTTTAAGGTTCCGAGTAGGTTGGCAACACATTTCTGTTGAAGCCTTGGCGTATATTCAAGTTAAGTGGTCAACCATCGCGATAATTGCGCCCACGAATCAGATTACGAGGCATGCTCGCCTGGTTGTGCTTTTGGGTTCGGTCCGAAACCCACGAAGGTAGTCCCATGGCTACCAGTAGCATATCCAGAGAAGGGCGTAAAGAATTATTACAAGAGAGACTAGGGCGAACACTTCTGACTTATTAGCTGTCGTCAGCCAGCCATACCCAACCCGAGGTTTGCATAGCCCAACATTCGAATGCAGATTTTTGGGCTGCTGAACGTTACTCCAGACGTTCTCACATTGAACCACAGGCCCCTCGTTCTGTCGGTTGCGATTGGTAATATTAACTACGATGAAATTTTGTCCACCAATCGGATTACGGACATGCTTGTCCTGGCTAATAAGCCAGAAATGGTCATCCCAGCCTCTCTTTCCCCTGTCAGCACTTTTTTCTGTAAAGATGTATAACTAGCAAGATGTTGGTGCTCTTTTAGCATCGGTTGAATGGGAATTTATCATCTATATGGTGAAGTGTATAAGTGACTTCGGGCCGTATCCGCTAGGCCGGTGACTACAAAGAGGCAGGCAGGCAGGCACTTTCTGGTAACTATACACAGTAATTATATGCCATTTCAGTCCCCACTTACCAACGACTTTGTGCTCCTCTCCAGCGCCTTGATAAACAGGATTTTGGGCAGAAATTCAATAAAGACCCGTCGGACCCAGGGCGAAATGGTGTGTGTGTCGGGTGAGCGGGTGTGAATGTTCAACACCAAAATTGTGGCGATGGTGGAGAAGATGATGAGGACCATAGTGAAGAGCAGGAACTTGACAATGAGTGGCACGACCAGACTGGTGGGTGGAGAGATCTCGAATACGAGCAGAAAGAAAACCGTCAGAGCGATCAGAATGGAGGTGCTGAGGGAGATCTTCTCGCGACTGTCTACTGGCAGGTAGAAAACAAGCACGGTGAGGACGGAAATGGATATGCAGGGGCATATTAGATTGACCCCGAAAAAGAGGGGTTTCCGTCGCATGCCGAGGTAGAAGGTTATGTCGAGGTAGGGCGGAGTACAGCACGGATAGAACTCCACATTACGGCGGGCAGAGACACTGGTCAGATCCCACTCCACATCATCCGTGAACTGCGAGAGATCGATAGCGTAGTCGATGTGGCTGCGACAATTGTCGAACGTTGTCTGAATGTTGGTCTTCTGACTGGTATGACGCAGATCAATGAGCAAGCCATCGTAGGTCCATGCACCAATCTTCATAGAGCAATTTTGCTTATCGAAAGGAAAGTACTCCACATCGATCTCGCACTGACTCTTGAAGATGATGGGCGGTCGCCAGACAATAGTACCGTCGTAGCTGACGAAGACCTTGGTTGTGGAAGAACCAGCCAAATCCCAATCTCCACCAGCACTGAAGGGAGAAGCCATGAAAATAAACATGAAAGAAACCGGGACCACTTTTACGTCAATATGGATTCGTTTTCTGAATATTCTCTCCTAAGGGCCGTAGTATGTTAAACAACGTCTAGAACTTGAATTATGATTGGTACTTACATCGAGGATCTGGATATTATAACCTATCAGTTAGGTCAGCGTTCATGTTTTGTTTATATGCTGTTCGGGATATAACGATCAGGCGACTTCGGCACCATCAAGTCAGAACGATCAGAACCCGAGCACCCGACTGCATGACAACTGAGGCGTGGTGAAGAAGGATGGTATTCAGCAGAAAATAGTAGGAGCAAGCCGTTGCAACAAAATAAAAAGTATGAAGAGTGTGAAAGTGTTAGTATTTAAATATGTCAAGACATCTAGAAATTAGACAAATATTATTTTTATGAACCACGACTATTTAAACGGCAGTGATAACGGATAAGAATGTTTGCGCGATCAAAACATCCGGGCGAAAACGGAGGCAACCATCAAAAAAAGCAGATCAGTTTGCTAGGCATCTTTATACAGGCAAATCAACACGCAGAGACCTAAGAAGAGTAAGTAACGGAACAACAGCGAGGTGCAAGTAAAGTGAAATCTCATTAGAAAAACTTCAGGATGGTGTGGTCTAGAGTTAGGTGGACTAAAATCTCGTTATTTGGCAGTAGTAAATTATTTATGAATGAGTACGTCAAGCCCAAGCTCCTCTTCAGAATCCGCACTCTTAGACAAGGTGTTGGTTAGAAAAAGGAGTCTGTCCACTCTCCCTCTAGGTTTCCCATGGAAATTGATGAGCGGAATATCACACAGTTATGGATGCCAACAAGTGAGAAGATTTATTCGTATTTAGGTAAAGCCATAACCTGATTCAATGGGTCCGCAGTCACGGTGCTTCTTGATGCATCCCGTCTTGACGACTAGTCAGACTCAATTCGAGTTAAAATTGAAAACCTGCTCAGACACATTCGATAAGACGCTTGGCATAGAGACTACTTTGATGCGCATCTGAACACCTGAAAGGCCTAAGAAGACTAAGTTACGGAACAACAGCGAGATGCAAGTAAAGTGAAATCTCATTAAGAAAACTGCCGGGGTGGTGGATGGTCAGTTGGATGGTGCGGTTTAGAATTGAGTGAACTAACATCTCGCTAGTTAGCAGTTAATTACTTATGAATGCGTGCGCCAAGTCCAAGCACTTCTTCAGAACCCGCACTTTTAGACAAGGTGTTGACTAGAAAAAGGAGTCTGTCCACTCTCCCTCCAGGTTTCACATGGAAGTTAATGAGCGAATTATCACACAGTTATGATTGCCAACAAGTGAGAAGATTTCTTCGTATTTACGCAAAACCATAACTTGGTTCAAGGGGCCCGCAGTCAGGGGGCTTCTTGATGCATCACGTCTTGCCGACAAGTCGGACTCGTAAAATGCATTCGATTTAAAATTGAAAAACTGCTCAGACACATTCAATAAGACGCTTTGTATAGAGACTGCTTCGATGCGCATCTGAACACCAGAAAGGCACTATTTTAACAAATACAGCAATGTAATTCTTTAGGATGCTACCGTCAACCTGCAAGGTTTGCCGTAAATCAAAAGACAAGGCGGTTTTTCATTAAAATTACTTGTTGTAGAGAACTAGGTCAGGAGTCCAAATGTCTTGCGAAGATATGTGAAGAGAGGTGACGTTTCCGTGCTCGAGAGGATTCCATACAAAGTTGTGATCCTTCCAGTCCTGCGAAGGAGTACGGAAATGAAAGATTTTATCATGCTCGTTATTGATTTCATCCATCGAAAGTGTCATCGTGGGACGTTAATAAAGCAAAATTTGAAGCATAGGCGGAAAATCATAGTATTGAAAGGTTCTTAAATGAATAAAATAATGTTCTCGGACTGCCTAAACACAGTAAGCATATACACATATGCTTAGATGCCACATACAAATTTCTCAAGGACAAGTAGAAGCGAACGCAGCCAATGCCGAGGGGATGCCGAAAAACCATTTACGCGCAGAGGCGCGGGCTTCTGCCAACCATAGAATTCACTGCTCGACACGGTTAAATAGTTAACTGTTTTGTATATAACCCGAAGGTCTGACGACGAGCAGGGGAACTAGACTCGAAAATTTACGCACTAAAGGTTACTCTCTTCCCAAAGAATCTTACTTATTTTCAATTAAATTTCTTGGGATGCCCGTTTTCCAGCACATATATACATATGTGGATACATCACAGTCCGATCATCGCAAGCGACAACATCTACCGTGTGTCCCACGGAGTAGGTACGATAGTGGCGATTTATGCATGAATTGGTTAATAGAGCGGCCAACTTGTGCAGCATTTACATTCACTCACAAAGCTCAGATGCAACGGCAAATCAAGTTCAAACTTATTCCAGAATTAGAAGCTCCTTCAAAGCCGATAGATACCCTTTTTCAAGTATAAAAATTGGAGAAAACTAATTTTCTACCAAATTATTAAAAGAAAATAAATGTTTATAGATGTCTTCCACAAAATTCATTTGAATTTATAAGGGCTGTGAGATCTAATAGGGAAAGTGCATGCTACCTAAGTAGTCATTTTTCCGAGTGCGGTTATTGCAGGTAATCGAAAAGGAGTGGATTCGGAAGCCAACGTCCTGGCGCGTCCGAAATATGAAAGCGTCATATCGTATGATAACCAATATTACAACCCCTACTTGATCAATCCTTCCTAACTGAAAATGCGTTTCAAAATTTCGGTCTCCATTTCATGAGATTGATGAGTATATTCGCCAAATCTCAACACGGACACTAGCAAATAGCCTATGGTCATTCGCTGCTGATTTTCTGTGTCCGTTCCCCGATTTGTAGCCCCGCTTGTCGCCCGTGAAGACTGAACTATATTCCGTTCTTTCTTATCCCAAGTCTGTATATTTTGGCATGATAAGCTGTTTAGGTGAAATAACAAGAATTGTGGCAGCCCTGAGGATGACATTCTGCCTTTTGGAACGAGAAGTGTGGAGCACACACAACCAGAAAACTAGTTTAGAATATGCTTACTGGAGTATTTCTGTTAGTTAAATGCAGGAGGACGATGACCTCACCAGCTACTTTAACTTCAAACTGGACAAAAATTCAAATGTGCCAGCCATCTGTATAAATGGGAGTTAAATAATTTTTGAAGAGAAGACGCTCGAAGATTGACTTTGACGTTTGGAAGACTGTCGATCAGAACCTTGCAAAACGCCACGAGCAGGTTAATAAGTGAAAGTGTAATTTGGTGGTAAAGGGGTGCTCACCGATCGTTCTTACGGAACTCACGCGTCCCGTCGTGCCTTGCGGATTCTCTCTCGAGCCCACCCAGCAGCCGCACAGCGGCGCATGACATAGACAGGATGATATTACCGACAAAGACAAGGGCGACTGGAATGGTCACTTCTGGCCTATTAGCCTTCGCCAGCCAGTCGTATCCAACCCCGATCTAAACTGACAGGACAACGAGCCCGTGGCTCGGTGTTTAGAGGCGTTGGACTCCTAATTAACAGGTCGCGGGATCAAGCCCTAGGTGTTCCACGTTTCGGTGTGCGGTGTGGCTGGCTGGCGACCGCTAATAAACCAGAAATGGCCATTCCAGTCTCCCTTGCCTTTGTCGGTAGTAGGATTCAGTGTAATTTGTGTACTCAGAGAGTATATCTTTGCGAGGAAAGTTTGTTTATTTTAGGGTATGATATACCCCGAACTAATTATCCAGAAGAAAGTTTAGTAAAAGTTACTCAAATCCCCCTCTGCGGTTATTTGAGCATTTAGCCTCCTGCAAGAAAAGTGGCAGCCACAGTTTCCGTCACAGGCTAATTTTGGAGAATAAAGGTAGAAAAGTTCCAAAAACATGTGTAACAAATGGGTGCCAATCTACGTCGTCGTGGGACAAACATATGCAAGCCGAGATATATAATTTTGCTGTTTTGCATTGATTTTTTCTGTGGAAATTCAAATTTCTACATATTCCTCATCCGTTATCTCTGTTATGCAGTGACAGGTTACGCTTGATAAGCCGTCACGAAGTTTGTTGGTACCAATAAATTCTGCTGTGTATCCATGTTTCAAAAAGGACGGTTATTTGATATTTCCCTTCTGAGCTCAATGAGTTTGGTATAAAACAAGTCGTTTCTACGTATGAGTACACGATGACAAGAGCCCGCATTGTCTTCGCTGACATGTCGTTTATCGAAAGAAAACCTTCCGGGGGAATTTTCGAACACACTTGTGGTCGTTTCACGTCTAAGCAGTGACTGCAATGTTCACTCATTGATCATTTTGTTTGCATGCAACTTTTCCAACCACTTCGGCCAAACGCCTTTACGAGGCCTTCAGTTGTAATAGAAACGAAGAGACGAGTCCCAGGAAGCAGTCATGAAGAAGAAGACCCGATCGCTAAGACAAGAGCTTTACTCGCTTGACATTTCGGATTACTGCTCGAACCAATCATCAGACACAAAAGGAGATACGGGTATCTTCTTTTGTCTCTGACGATAGGTTCAAGCAGGAATCCGAAACGTCAGGCGAGTAAAGCTTTTGTCCCAGCGGTCGTGTCTCCTTTTTCACCTTCAGTCCTATCAGAAAATAATAAACTCAAAATGGTCGAACAAGCGACTTACAAGATTCACCCAGGCGTTCAAAACAATAATTTGCCTTTTTTCATCCTATGAGACAAAAACAAAATGTTGTTAATATGCATGTATATAAATACCTAAGGGGAAACTACTCATGCCTAATGCACCTGTACACCTTCTATTCTTTGTTCTGGATATGCATACGAAACATGATAACTCGTGACTGCGTGTTTTTATTGTTTTTTAATATCTGATTATCAGTAGTAGAGCTTAATGAAGACTATTCACAGCCGGGTGGGTGCGGAGACTTACAACATCCAGAATTTGAACGAGAGTGAGATTCATGAACAGAAGCACGGCCGATTCGTGCTGCAGCACAGGTCGCACAAATGGACTGTAGTTCTCCTTCGTGGTTAAAAAATGGTACAATTTACGGACGGCATCATCGGCGGCAGAAACTGGAAAAAAACAGAACGGGAAGGAGGAGGGCCAGGAGAGGGTTGATTTTTGTAATAATCAATCGAAATACTCAGGAAAATGAGCGGAAATATCTGGTATAAAGCAAAAGTGGATCAACTTCCGAGTAACTGGATCCAAATAAAGGGGCGGACAACGACCATGAAACTTAAGCAACAAAGTGTCGGATTGTTGTAAAATTAGGTCATACTATGGTATCAACTGGGAAAAAATAAATAAAAAAAACACCAAACGTGGTACAAAAACACTAGAGGGAAAACGGGCATGTCTAAAAATCACCCGATTAAGGGTAGAGGATAGAGCAGGAAGGTGAGTGTCGAGTGTATGAAAACAATTAAGTCTGGATTACGAAGAGCACAATGGCAAAAAAATTCCTGCAATTTGGCTTAACAAAAGACGAAGTGTCAAAACTACACGAACGGCGTAAACTGTCAGGATACCCTAGTACAGTGCATAAGAAGGAACCGAATACTGAAGTTAGAAAGAAAAAGACATGGCTGTTCTAAGGAAGCAAGAATGAGATTGTATGATTCCCAAGAGCCGGCACTTCTGACTTACATCGACCCGGGTTGGCACCTGACCTTGGTTGCAGGCGTGGTCCCTTGTTTGGGAACGAAAACTTCTCAAAAACTGAAAAGGTGTCCACTCTGCCCACCAGTACAATCATTAAAGCTTGTTTGGGGAATGTACAAATGCACGTTCGTCAAACGGGAGACTTTTTGCGCCTTATGTATACATACCCAAAATCGAGAGGGCATACACTACGGGGAAAATGTGAAAAGCGCTTCTGTTTCTGCTCAATGGTTTTCTTCGTCGCTGCACTGGGTTTTGATCCAACTTATCGAGCTGCTGACAAAGCCCCGTAAAGTAGGATGACATCATAAGATGTGTCTTTGTGGCCAACTAACGTATGCTAGGGTCCATCAGCTTCCCAACTTATGTGAACATGAGGCAATGATAGGTGTCCATCAACCTCAGTTTCCAGAATATATTCAATTTCTACAAACGTGGGGCCGAAATTACTATGGACCGTTTTTATCACATTTGTCTTGACGACCGCACATGCACTATCTGCACTGCGGAATGCCAATTTTGAGTTTATTGCTGGAAGAGTTGCGGCTTTTGCAGCATGGCTTCTAGTAGAAAGCCAATTACGAGTAGTCTCATACGGAAAAATGTTTATTTTCTGAGGATTTTCATTGACGACGAATACGTTGGTTCCTGGACGGATGTTTAGGAGTTTAAAGGGTGCATAGTCAGGAACATCTGAGATTTACAGTGGATGTGCTATCTCATGGAACGTTAACCGATATTCTGAAGTATGTTTTCAATCTGAAAAGACTAGTCAAATAAGGTTGCAATAGCAATGATCGTGCGGCATAATTCCAAAATATTTCATTCACATCAGGATGCCGGCTTCTGAAAGAGCATCTTTTCAGCGGTCTGTAAAAAATGACCGCTTAAATAGTACAAATTCTTACATGGATTTTCAAAGTCCTCAAACATTGAAGTATATCTTAGAAAAATACGAAGAAGAATAATTTTCTTGCGCTCATTTGGTAGGAAATTGCGTCAACTTTAGATTTTACACTTAAAAAGGGGCATTTTTGTCTTCTTAAAAGTTCCTTGTTATGTACTTTCTCAGGACCGTGACACTTACATTCAGACGGCATCGCATCCTCACGCTTACTAATGCTGCTCTTGCAGTGTACAACCTGCTACACATACATTGCACAATTTCATAAGTTCTATATGACCTCTTCCCAGCTGCCTGGAGGGTGTTTGATGTTCCTCTGACGTACTAAATACAACATTTGGTTTGAAAACCCCGGATGCAAATTCGATGACTAGCTGGGTTTAAAAATTCTTCGAAAACTTAAAAAGTCTTTAAAAACCGGAAGGTAATCTTTTTTAAATACAAAGTTTAAAGGAGACGTAATTTGCTATCAAATTAGTAGAATAAGATATTTTTTTGTGCACTTTTCCATAGACTACATTTGAATTTATAAGACCATCGAAAACCAATTGAAAAGATCACACTTCTTAAGTGGTCATTTTTACGGGGTGTAATCTTCGCAAAAGACTGAGAAGAAATTCATTCAAAATCCGGCATCTTGGTGTGACTGAAATGTCTTACGATTGTGTTGATCGATAATTAATATTACAAATCCACTCAAATGATCTTTTGAATCGAAAGTACACTTCAAAATTTCTGTTTAAATTATATGATGTGGCATATCTACTTTGCTTTTGAAGTACCACATTGCGAGTTTTCATCAATTCAGCAGAATAGAGGTAAGAAGAGGCCACTTCAGATGATATCATTAACTTGTCTGCTACGAATGACTCTTCTTCTTTGTCCAGGAACTGTTCTGAAATATAACTTGAGATTTCAACGTTCTTGAGTACACGGAACTAGTGTGCTAATCACTTAGAGGTTAGAGGGTTTGGCGCACCAAGCAAAGGGAGCATCGAACATAGTCAAACACCAATTTCGAACCTAAACGCGTTCATATATTTTGGCACTTACCATTCCGTTCTTTTGCGGAAATTCGCTGAGAATTGCTGGGATTAATTTCTTTCCGCCAGGCACTTCAGCACTTTTTAATATACTGGTTCAGTGGGTTTTTAGGGCAGATGGTTATTGACGTTCTACCATCAACATTGTACATTCGGTGCAGTTTGCCGGGTTTAACATGACACTGGTACCCATCAAGGAAGGCCTTAAGCTCCATTTCTGACTTATTAATCTGACAACCCTGACCTAGTAGTTAATTACGAGGGGTCTGCATTCGGAGCGCGGTTATTCAGGTCGGAAGTTGAAATATTGCTGTCTGACAGAAACTGGCAAGCAACAGATGACTACTCCAGAATCCTTCGTCGTCGTTGATATCCATCTTGCGCATACGTGTATAACATTTCAACCGTCGTTACCGATGATGTTCATCGTGTGCCCCACAGCATGATGAACGCAGAGACGGAGACTTGTGAGTGAGCTAGTTCAGAGTGATAGTATACTTGCGTCGCACCTGCCGCACTCACTCCCTTCCCACCCATCCAAGATCGGAGTCAAGAAGACCGCAAGCGGAATCGGACGCGGTGGTTTCCACCTGGTCCGCACACATAGGACCGGGTTTTCACTTAAACAACGGAGCGGCTCGGATCCTAACTTGCTTAGTGGGAATGTCATAAAGGCGAGATAAATAATAAGACACTGTGGCCTGAATCTTCGTCCTGGGAGGAAGGCCGAGCTATCTTGTAAGTTGGCAGCTGTCCAAGTTACCGCATTTGGCGCCAAGTAATATATTCAAGCGCGTTAGACTGCTGGTAGTAGGGAAAATGCGCTGGTGGAGTAGACCTCATTTTCCCTTCAATCTTCCTGACACCAGTTCCCGACCGAGTCACTCAAACAAACGACGCGGGGGTTCGACGCATTGGCTGAAATAGATAAAGGGCCCGGCTGCTCGTGCTACAGGCACGACCTGGCCCAAATACGACACACCACGTTTTCAGGAAAAACGGTTAAATATACCTCATACAAGTCTTAAATTTATATTCCCAGGGATCACGTTTACTTTTAAAATGAAAGTTGGTAGACAAATTCAATCCCTGGATGTCTTTGTAAGCGGACAATCGATGGAACACTTCAAACATCAGTTTACCGCAGTAGTATGTTCAGGGGTCGTCCAACATCTTTGGAAAGTGCATATATGCAGTCGAAAGACTGCTAACAATGTCAGATACGTGTAGCACATCAACCAGCAACTAACGTATACAAACAGCCTATACACCCTAAAGACAGGGTTGGCTACCTCTGTAGAAGAGGAGTTGTCTGCGAAATCTCATGTGCCCTTTGTGATACCGTCCACTGCGGCTTCACCGGGTATCCGTCCTAACGCGTATATACGAACATCACTCAGCGGCGGAGAAATGTCCATAGACACACTGGTCACCAGGTACAAATTTACGTGGGAAAACATTCGGATTGGCCAATACGGACGGGTCGTGATTCCTAGAAGCAATCCACTCAGATGGGACATGTTTCAAGTTCAGGCACATTCCTCATGTAAGGAAGGATTTGCCAAGTGTTTACTTTGGACGCCTTTTTGGAACCATCTGGTTCCCTTATTTTTGTCTCTTATTGTCTCGTGCACCGACGTACGAAATCTCAAGGGTAACCATACTGGGAAATTAATTAAAGCAGGTAGTTTAGTTCAATTCGGCAGCTTTTTAATCAGAGCAATGTGTTTTTGCTTGATGTAGCAGACTTTTGACAGTACTCGCTTGTGAGAGATTGGGCTGTTGCTCTCATAGTGTAGAAATATTTTTGCATATGCTTCTTTGCGGTAAACGGACGTGTGTAATGTTCTGTCAGTTTTACGCTGTAGGAAAACATCCAGAAATGGGAGTTTATTGTCAACTTGTCTTTCGAGCGTGAATTTAATTTCCGGAATGGCTGAGTTGATGAGGCTGTGAAGTATTTCCAGTTGGTTTGTTTTAAGGACGACAAATGTTTCGTCTAAGTATCGTACCCACAACTGAAGATTGACTAATTGGAGAGCGACAGATCGCAGTTTCCGCATTGTCAACTCGGTAAGAAAGCCAGATATGGGTGATCCCATTGAAGCACGTTTTAGTTGTCGATAATATTAATGATCGAACGAAAAATTGGTTTCTAAACAAATAAATTAAGAATGGATGGGGATATGGGTCGGAAATGAGCTAACTTTATAATTGATGGTTCTTTTTGTCTCCTGGAAGGAAACAAGTGTATAAATGCCAGCCGTCACTAGGAATCGTAAAAGTGATTCAGCCAGAAGCAGTCATTTTGGTGTCCTTTTGTTCATCAGTATCGAGTTTACTGCAGTAAACTGCATTACCGACGAGAAAACTTCGAGGGGGCTGGCCCCCTCATAGCCGCTTCTTGGCCCCTTTCAAGAGGGGGCCAAGTGCTGGCAGGGTGACTATTAATTGCGGCCGCACCGGTGTACACCGGTGTACACTGATCAGGCCGCCAAAGCACTAATATTGTCCGGCATATAAAGCGCAGACCAGGGCTTTTTAAAGTCCTGACACTTCGTGGTGCAAACTTATGTTCAAAAAGGGACGTAAATTTAGTGTGCCTCCTTTTAGTCGGAAATGTCTTCCATATAAACTTTAAAATTCGACTGATTTTGCCCGGCAAATGACTGGGTGGATTATGAGATATTCATTATAAAGCAAATCATGATCATGAATGCATTTCAACGTCAATTACCGGGGACCAGTTGAAAGAACAAGCAGACGAGCCAAAGAAACATAAACAACGCCATGCACATTATTTGATTACGTTCGCAAACTCAAGGGCATATAGGCATGTTCAATGATGCGTTTAAACATGTTAGAGAAACAACAAATTATTGATTCACAAACCAGCTTTCAAATAAAAGTGCAGGAGTTGCCCGCAAATTTAAACACTATTACGTATTTTTAACTGATCTGCCAGGCCCAGCAGGATTACATGGTCGAAAGTTACACATCAACCGACAAAAATAAACCTCAACATTGACTAAGGGGATGACTTAGCGAGAATGGTATCTGAATAAGTCTCTTGCTTCATGACTTCATATTTTTTGCCCCTCCTCCTTTCTTTGGGTTGTCCGTCCGTTTCGTCCAGTTTATCTTCCGTTTAATAGTAGTTTAAGTGTTCTTGCTCCAATGGGGGTTTCTGTTGCTGCCGCCGCCGCCGGTCTTGGAAAGACCCCCGTTGATTGCGGAGAAGCAGACACGATCGCCATAACAAGTATCTTTTTAGCCTGACGTTTCGGGTTCTCACTCTAATTCATCGTCGGAGGCAGAATAAGATAAGTTTAGTGGATTGCCCGGGTGTTGCCATATGTATAGGCTGTAGTTGCAAGGCCGCTGTATGCCTATGACAGTCGACAGCTCCTGAGTGCATCATAGCTCGGCTGGTCAGGTGTCGACGTGCGCCCTTGCCATGCAGTCGCTTGGCGCCCATATGCCGGTCAAGGTTATCGGCTCCCGCGCTCATCGCACGCCGCCGAGCGGCTTACTACCAGACTTCGTCATCTGTGTGGACTCTTGGGTGATTTGGCCCACCGACATTTATACCGCCGACAGGGATTGTCTACCCGTTCTCCTCGCGACCAAGTACTTTTCCTAGGCTAAGCCTCAGTGTCAGATATGGAGCGGAGAGGTCGTCGTGCTTGTTGGTTAAATGAGGACCGGAAAACCATGACTCGAGAAGCTCACGCCTCATTCGGTTGTCGCTTCTAGCAAGAATTTCTACTCCGTCAAACTTAAATGTTTGATTGGGTCCTGGCGAATGAGCCATAGTCTGAGAGTTTGTTGACGGCTTCCGCGACGTTCTTCACGTCCGGTACAACTCGCCAAAATTTTGGTCCGGTTCCAGCGATCGTGTCTCCCTCTCCGCTACTACTTCTTGAAACTCTTCCCTTCGTTTCTGTTACAGCCCGTCGATTGCTTGTGTATCCACATCAGAATAACAAGTACGACTTAATGTTGCCTGTTGACTTTTATGCGCTTTTTAACAGATCCACGTTTTACCGCCTCCGCTTGGACGGGGAAATTTGCGATCTATTCAGTCTCCGAAATCTGATTAGATTACGAATATAATAAGTGAAATTTTATCGAATAGCTTCGGACCCAGTTCGAAATCTCCATACGAATCACGGTGTATGCAGACCATGCCGCTTAGCAGCATTCGGACTGTGACAGCCATTAGTCGAGGTATATCATGTCAACACTTTGGTGCCCGACGCTGTGAGCCTGCATGAAATTCTAAACAAAATAATTCAGTCCTGGTAGCGACCTTTAGTATTGATTTCGACAGACACGAGAACTCGCGGATCGGTGGCTGCAATGGTGTATTAGAGGAAATATATAGGGAACTTTTTATCATCCTTTTGCAACATACAAGAAGTCGTCGAATACAGGAGGAGTAATCTATTTGCAGCAATCGGGGACGTTAACGAAGACCCATGCAGGTTAATACAGCACACCACAGATAAGTTTTCTAGGATAAAATCTGAATATGATTGTTAGATATGCCACTAATACTAATAATCGGCAAACCCGCTTAGCACCCTTGACGGCACAGTTATTGCAGATTAAAAACACATCTATAAACTGCGTTTACGAGTGAATCAAGAATCGAGCGGACGAAACTGTATGATGCTATGTTTTTTGCAATCGACAGTCAGACATGAACAATGATCTACAGCAAACAAATACTTTAAAAATTGCTTGAAAAGACATGAAAAATGTGGTTTATTCGTTCTTAACGGGAAAAAAGGCAACGTATGAGAAGGAAAATAGGCCTGTTGGACAGGATTTCCTTGCGGATGAGGGCGCATATTTCTTCTAAACATGGTTCGTTTAGAATCGAATCAAGGAGAGGAGATCAAAAAGCCATGGGGATAACAAAAACTCGGGTGATTGCGACCATGATGCATCTTTGTGTCCAAGCAACTCATCATCAAGATGGCAAAATTGAGAAGCCCCTTCGATCATCAATTAATCGCTTAGGTTCAAAACGAGAGACGGGCGTTAAAAGCTGTGAAGACCACTGCTAAAGATAATAATGTCGGTGAATTTAGCATCCACTGGAAAACATGGAGTTATGCCAATTTAATTTATTGAGAACTTTCGGAGTATAAAGAAACTTAGACGTTGGAACCAACTGTCTCCGCTGTATGAGCAGCTTTGAATACGCTGCAATAGTATAAAATACGAGAAAATTGAGTCTTTTACCGCATGGAATGATCCATCTGTGCACCGAGGTGACACCGCCAAAGGAGAATTCTTGGGAGTGCAATGTGAGTGGAAGGGCTGTAATCATACTGACTAGAAAGAAGGAAGAGAGTGTTTAAAGAAGGGGATGTTGACGACTGAGAGAGATGGGGCACCGGCATTTTCGCCAGCAGGCTGTCGCACCTCCTCAGCCCAGGATTCCAAAATAATTAGTGCCAGTCCATTTTAGCAACCCTGTCATTTCAGTGGTACGTTATATAATCCTTAAACTTTAATTGCCCGAGGTCGCACGGCCTAAATTGGGCATTTTTTGTGCGATTTCGAGAAATATTCCAAAAACTTTGGCAAACTCGCCTCAGCCAAAATTTATAAAAAATGCTTTGCTTCCACGCAGCAGGGACACTGCAGTTTTGCCGCCGTGGAAATTAACGAATGGTCTTAAGTTTGTAACCATCTATATTTCCGAATCCCATTCGGAATCCCATAAGTGAGAAAGGTCCATCTTCTACCTACAATTATAACGGGTTCAAATGGACGATGTACTGTGCATTTGTTGACGTTCAGCCAAAGAAGCTAACGTCTAAACCATTTGTTGGTGTGTGTTCACCGTCGGTTCCAATAAGGGTACTTCAGATCGTTATATTGTTGCAGAGCAAATAGTTCACGATCTCCTGTGTCCATTGTGGTCGATATGAGTGTCGATAGTGAGTCCTAGCTTAGCTCACATTCACCCATCAAGTTAAATGCATTCTGCTGGTCTGTCAGTTTAAGTCAGTTTATTAAGGGAATGAGGCTTTCGCCCTTGAGCTCCCTATTCATATCGATAAGCAGAAATAAAGTCATCAATTACATCAGCACATGCGAAAAGTTAAGAAGTTAGCGGTAAGTGTGAGCTAGGCGCAAACTGCCGCCGCTAAAACAATCATTATTGTATGTACAGTAGGTTCTCAACAAGTGAGCGTCTAGTCTGCACTTAAAGGATTTGACACTTTCGGAAAGAACGACGACATCAGGGAGTCCATTCCATGCCCCGATCACCCTGTGAGAGAAGGCGTTCCGTCGGACGTCCGAATGAGCCCGCTTCCTTTGCAGTTTGAACGGATGACCACGCAGACGGTCAGTCCGGACCAATTCAAAGAATTCATCAAAGTCTAGGGCACACTCACGGCTTCTGACAATCCTGTAGGTTTGAATGAGATCGCCACGCAATTGCCTGTAATTTAGAGGAAACAGATTTAGTTCGGTTTCGTAAGGCAAATGATAAAGATTCTTGACCATCTTCGTGGCCATCGCCTGTACTCTTTCCAGTCGTTGATAATCTTTCTTCAACCACGGTCGCTAGGACTGGACTGCATACTCTAAGTGAGACCGGACGAATGCCCCATAGGTTTTTCCGAACAGCTGTTTATCGATCTGCACAAATCCTCGCCTCAGCGCAAATAACACCCTTATCGCACTTTTGGCTGCCCTTTGACACTGTGAAGATGGTTTCAGCGAGGAGGTCATTAGGATGCCCAGGTCTTTCTGTTCACCATGCTTAATGATCTGACGACTTACCTTTGGTGGGCTTGCGTCTGCTTTAGTGGAAATTTTTGCATTTTATAATCACCATAGCTTTGCTGAATCGAAGTGACAGATGGGGAAAATCGATGAGAAAAAATCGGATACATGGCTTACGAATAGTCGCGACACTTATCAGCAAGTACAGGAATAAAAAGTTATTAAATTATTAGAAATCACAAACAGTCGTGACACAAGGGATCTAAGAGAAGTTAGCCCGAACTTTAAAACATACTGTCATCAGAATCATCAAAGAAATGAAAACAAACGAGAGACAGCTTCAAGTCTGCCTGAAAGAAAATGATCAGCCATTTAGCTGGGTTAATAGTAGCACTTATTCGGTGCAGCTTAGATATAAGCCACTTGTGAGAACCTTGCCTAAATTGAGGAGCCAGTGAGCTGACCAACTGTTTAGGCGGTTGAGACTGTCTTGAAGCGCGTACCTGTCTGCATCAGATCTGATGGGTCTCCACAGCTTAACATCGTCAGCAAAAATGATGGCGCTGCATCCCAGGTCGTCGACACAGACGTTAATGTAAACGAGGAATAGCAACGGCCCTAAGACGGAGCCCTGGGATACAACATACATACGCAGAGTAAGGAGATTGCATACAGCTCAATTTGTGAGGTGCCCAATGAAATACGCGTTTAGGGGTTAATGTAGCAGTTACTAGGTTGACACACTATTGTGGGGCTTCTGAAAATAATCGAGACCAGAGTAAATTGCGCGGCCATTATGGATTGTTCGATTCCAGCTTTTGGAAGATCGCTGGAAATTAGTCCTGCAATTACTGTTTCTAGAAAACTACGCTGGTGGTCTAGCAATCGGTTCAAGATTTGTAGGAATTGTTAAGGCTCATTCCGCGTGATGCTCTTCGTTGTGTTACAGATGATAAATTTGTAACATATGGGGCTGTAATTTGTTGGCGATTGCGGGCTTACCATCATGTGGAAGAGCGTGAGCTGC